ACTTATTAAATAAGTAGGGCTGACTGAGGATAGAGAGGTTGTTTTGCAGCGATACTAGAGAAAGCAGGTCCTCTGCTTAGAGGGATCTTTCTGGAAGAAGATGGTGCTGAGGAATTTCCAATGCAGCATTTCCATCAGCAGTGGAAGCCTAAAACTTATGCAGCCCTGACTGTATTAGGTAATGGTCACTGCCTTTAAGGAATTTAACAATTATTTGTGATATCATCACAGAACCATATTTACACTTATTCTCCACCTCCAGATATCCCCTCTTCCCCTGTGCATGCAATCTGGATACTGGAGGGGGGAGGGCTACACATTTTTTTCTTGTGATGAGAACTTTTAAGATCTACTCTCTTAGCGATTTTCAAATATACAATATGGTATTGTTAACTATAATCACCATGTTGCACACTATATCCTCAGGACTTATTTCCCTTGTAACTGGAAGCTTGTTCCTTTTGACCACCTTTATCCCAATTCCCACAACCACCACCCTCACCTCTGGCAACCACCAATCTGTTCTTATATCTATGAGTTTTGATTTTTTAGATTCCACATATAAGTGAGATCATACATTATTTGTCTTTCTCTGTCTGACTTATTTCACTTAGCATAATGCCCTCAAGTAGCAGGATTTCCTTTTTTTTATGGCTGAGTGATAATTCATTGTATATGTATACCACATTTTAAAAATTTATCTTTATTGGTTTTTTAAAAAATATTTTTATTGATTTCTGAGAGGAAGGGAGAGGGAGAGAGAGATAGAAACATCAATGATGAGCGAGAATCATTGATCGGCTGCCTCCCGCAAGTCCCACACTAGGGATCGAGCCTGCAACCTGGGCATGTGCCCTGACCAGGAATTGAACACATGACCTTTTAGTTCATAGGTCAACAACCAACCACTGAGCTGGGCAAAATTTATCTTTATTGTTGAAAGTATTACAGATGTCCCCTTTTTATGTATACCACATTTTCTTTACCTTAGGTCATTTCCATGTCTTGGCTATTGTAAATAATGCTGCAGTGAACATGGGGGTGCAAATATCTTTTTAAGGTAATGATTTTGTTTCCTTCAGATAAATACCCCAGAGTGGAATTGCTGGATTGTATGGTACTTGTCTTTTTAATTTTCTGAGGAACCTTCATACCATTTTCCATAATGACCATACCAATTTACCACCAACAGTGCCTCACACACCTACCCCAACCAGGGCCAGGGATCAAACCTGTAATCCAGGTATGTGCCTTTGATAGGTGTGCAGGCCAATGCTCTAACCACTGGGAAACATCAGCCTGGGCTAGATATAACCAGTTTTGATGAAACAGAAACAGTGTGCTGTGTTGAGATGTGAATGGCAATTACAAAGATATTAGCAACTGGTGAGGATTTTTTTGTAAGAGATATAACAGTGAAGGGAACAAAGGCAACTGTAGCCCACATCCCTCTACTGCTCAACTAGCCACCAAGTCTGGCAAGTTTCCATGTAAATGTCTCTTGCATCTGTTTCCTTCTTCGTAGCCCAGGTCTTTTCAAAAGCTTCATGAAAGAGGCTGTCTGTCCTGCACTGAGTCTTCACACATGGGATCTTGAGACATGTAGGGTTTGATAGGCAGAGAATGTAAGAAACAGCAATGCATGTGAGTAAAAGGACACAAATGCACAACAATGGGTAGTACAGTGAATCCTGCATTACCTTGTGCAGACACGCCATTCTTGCTGGGTTTGTCTTGGGGGAACACTGAGGTAAAACTTTTAAGTTGGGTTGAGGCCACTGTGGAGGACTCATTGCCAGCTTATGAAGTATAGACCAAAAATATGAATAATTTAGTATTTTAGGGAGGTGAATATGGGTACTTGACCTCTTATAAAGACTAGCAGCAAGGAACCTATGGTAAGGGTCTATTCTATCTTCTCTCATCTAAAACCCGACTCCTTTCTTACTCTAAATCAGTAGTTCTCAACCTTCCTAATGCCACGACCCTTTAATACAGTTCTTCATGTTGTGGTGACCCCCAACCATAAAATTATTTTCATTGCTACTTCATAACTGTAATGTTGCTACTGTTACGAATCGTAATGTAAATATCTGATATGCAGGATGTATTTTCATTGTTACAAATTGAACATAATTAAAGCATAGTGATTAATCACAAAAACAATATGTAATTATATATGTGTTTTCCGATGGTCTTAGGCGACCCCTGTGAAAGGGTCGTTCGACTCCCAAAGGGGTCGCGACCCACAGGTTGATAACCGCTGCTCTAAATTCAAGGACAAACTCAAGACTTTCTAAGGCTTCCTGGGCTCACACTAGTTCACAGGGATCTCCTCTTGTAAACTTCTACATTATTTATTGTTCTATGACCTCTCACAGTTAAGTATTCCAACTCAACTCTAAGCTCGGGGGTGGCTAGGGGTTAGGTGGGTTTATTTTCAACTTAGTTTCAACACCTCATAAATAATAATTCAGTAAATACTTGCTAAATGAAATATTAGCCTAAAAACACCATTAGAACACTGTATGTGTGAAAGAAAATCTCCCAAAACATAAGCCATCTCAAAGTCCATGATGTGCAATATCTAAGCCTTTGTCCTCCAATTAAATAATCAAGTCCACCTTTTTTAATAGCCAGACATATATACCAGATAATAGTGAGATGCAAGATTGAAATTAAAATACAGATATTTGTAGTTTAACTTCATCTTCCATCAGCAGGTTGCTAGCTTGTCTATTGTATTACATAGGCAGGCACCCTCTTGCAGTTTATACCTTGAGTGGAAAATGTATCTTCCCTAAAGGTGAAGGAGAGCTCTTTTCCTGGTACTTGGGGTATGGGACATATTTTGCTGGGTTTATTCACTTATTTACCCACACAACATTCACTGAGCTTCTCCAAAGACAAAGCAAGTTAGCAGGTGCTGGAATGATAGCTCTTCAAGACTTAGTGCTATGATAGTGCTCCTGCAGGTTTTGTGTGTTTTTTTTAATATTTTATTGGTTTTTTACAAAGAGGAAGGGAGAGGGATAGAGAGAAACATCAATGAGAGAGAAACATTGATCAGCTGCCTCCTGCACACTCCCCACTGGGGATGTGCCCGCAACCAAGGTACATGCCCTTGACCAGAATCGAACCTGGGACCCTTCAGTCCGCAGGCCGACGCTCTATCCACTGAGCCAAACTGGTCAGGGCTGCTCTTGCAGGTTTGCTCGACATAGAGAGGAAACATTAGTTATAGGCTTTGTTTACATGTAATAGAGCTTTAGGAAATAAATAAATAAATATCAGTAGTCTTGATAAATACCAGAACAATTCTAAGTGTAAGGTTAATCATGTCCATCTGATGTGAGGCCATGGTTAGAAGGACAAAGTTTAGCCCTAGCTGGTTTGGCTCAGTGGATAGAGCATTGGCTTGCGGACTGAAGGGTCCCAGGTTCGATTCTGGTCAAGGGCATGTACCTTGGTTGCGGGCACATCCCCAGTGGGGAGTGTGCAGGAGGCAGCTGATCAATGATTCTCTCTCATCATTGATGTTTCTCTCTCTCTCCCTCTCCCTTCCTCTGAAATCAATAAAATATATATTTTTAAAAAGGACAAAGTTTAGACAAAGAAAACCAGTTAGGTTAGCTCCTCACTCTTGCTCTTTTTAGGCTATTGCTCAGGGGATGGAAACAGAAACTCAGGGGACATCTGCTCAGGAAGCTTCTCCAAGGGCTCTGTCCAATCCCTGGTGCTGCTTCAAGGCCAAGATCGTCTCTAAAAATTCTTCAGAACAGGACACAGGGGATGAGCAGTCACTTCAGGAAAGGGTAAGAGAAGGGGTCAGATATAGGGAAACGGTAGGTGAACCTTTCCCAGGAGAGACTCTCAGATCAGGAAAAGGTCTGAGAAGCTTCATTCTCTCTCCAGGTCATCTGGGTCCTGCTGTGAGATGGCCACCAGGCTGGCAGCACCGCAGGTGGCCTGCAGCCCCAAACCAATTCCCTGTGATTCCCCCCCACGCCGCGCCCCTCCCGCACAGCCCTAGTCCACCACTGCAGTCTGAGCTTGTCACAGGCTGCCCCACTCTGCTCCCTGGGTTGCTGATCCCCTACACTCACTCAGAAGCCTGGAAACATGGGTCCTTGGCATGCACTTCTGGGTCCCATCTAGGCAGTTCAAAGGTCTAATCTGGTCTAATCTTGATCACGGGTTCTCTAGAGGCCGCTGGGGAGCTGGGTCCAGAACCACGTGGGGGTGGAGACCTTAAATTGGTGTTTGTCCTTCCCCCAGGAAGGATTGTAGGAGGTTGGAACAGATTTCTCTATTTGCCCACGATATCACTAAGTGGACCAAGGATCTAAATTTGTTTCCTTCTTCATCCCCTCTGACCCTGTATGCACCCCATTTGCCTCCTCCGCTTGACTCCTGCAGTTTTACCACCCATCTCACCTCCTCCTTCAAAATTACAGATCAGGTGACCTGCTGAGCCCAAATTCAGGTTATGAAGGCCCTCAGTCCTCCTTTCCCTTTGTCCCTTCAACCCAGTCCCTACCTGTTTTGCATGGAGTATATAAACAAACAGGAGGAGCATGCTGGTACCAATACCAATATGAGGAAGAAAAACCTTAGAGAGGTCCAAAGACCCTACTGCGCTTGCAGTACAGATTTGCCCATGGCACATTTGATATGTTGAAGCAGGAAAAGGGATTAAGGAAATGAGTTATGATAAGGGTAGATTCCCGCTAAACTCAGAAATAACAGCTACCAATTGTGGGGCATTTAAACTGATATCATCTCATTAATCCTCACAACAATCCGATGAAGCTGGTAATTTTTACTATCTTACATGCCAGAAGCTGCAGTTAGTAAGCAAGGAGGCAGCATTTGAACCCTGGTCTGCTCAAATCAGAGCCTGGTGCCTAACTGCACATAGGAAGGTCAATGAAGAAAGACTGGGTGAAGATTTGTAATATGAGCAACCGCAGAAAAGAAAAAAGACAAGACACTTGTAGTTATGCCCAAGTTGTAAATTTATAAACATGAATGAAATACAAATACAAGAGGTTAACCATTTTCTATAAGTGGAGTGAATAGGATGCATCAACAAAATAAAAATATTCCAGCATTATTTTCTTGTTGACTTATACAGGGCACCATCTGATTTCTTATTGAAATCATTCTTACAGTCTTGGATTAAACAATAGTTCCTTTATGCACTTGTATTTTGAAAATGTGAACTCATATGAATTTTAGACAAGACAGATGTCAGCTTGCTGACTCCAACAGGGAGTGCCTGTCAGGAGGCAGTTCCTACCACAGACAAGGATGCCTGATGTTTTCACTAGTCATATTTAAGTTCTCCAAACCCAGGGCATCCCATCCTGGACAATGCCAGTCCTACACTGTTAAATGCTTGCTCATTAATTCCCTCTATCTTCTGTCTAAACATCTGTCTTCTATTTTTACTGGTTTTTATAATAGTATTTATATTAATAACTATTTGGCACTTACTATATGACCAGTACCTTTTACATTATCTCTGTAATTTTCATGCTATTAGCCACATTGTATAGACAAGAAAACTAGAGAGACTAAGTAAAATTTCCAAAGTCACACAGCTAGTAAACAGCAAAATTCAAACACAGGTATGTCTAATTCTGAAGCTATTGCTTAAACAACTAATCTGTTTATTTTTACTCAGTAGATGGTTTCATTCATTTGATTAGGTTAACTGTATCCTTTAACTAGCACTGAATATCATAGTGTCTGGCAAATGTATTATTGAATGGACAGGTAGTTACATTTCTAGTTGTGGGAATTCCATTATGCTTTGCTGAGATGACACCCTAGGAGTTTTCGTTCTTCAACTTCATCAGTTACCCTCATACTATTTGCTAGTGTGAGGCATTTCTCCAGAAAGCTCATATGTTACCCTGAAAATGCCATTCTCTCATTTGTAGGCCTTCTGACATAATCTCTCTTGCCTGAAATGCTCTCCTTGCTCCTCTTCCAGTGTACCACATATCTTTCAAGTCTACCTCTATCTGGATACTCTTTTGCTCAACCCAGAACCTAGGTATCAAACTTGATTTTCCCAATAACTGCTTTGTTCCACTGCTATAATGTAACCAGAGGTGACAGTAAATCTTGGTAAGAATAAATGTCCAGCAGCAAGTTCTAATTAGCAGCAAAAATTAAGAGCACATTTGGGCATTGAAAATGGAAATGTAAATCTAGTGATGGGAATGGAGGGGACTTAGCAGGAAACAGGAATTTGGGACCTTTGATCTGTGACCTGTCCCAGTCAAAATTGTCTAAGCCTGTTCATGGGGCGTGGAAGGGTCTCTGACTAGCACCAAAAGATATTGGGATATTTTCTCCTAGTATCCCAGAGAGCTTTGAGAGCATTTAGGATGAGTTGCAAACTAATAACAGTGAATCATTGGGGTATAACAAGGAATGAAGAGCAATCAAAGAAAACGTCCCTGGTTGGTGTCTAATACCAACTTCACGATGATGCAAAGTTTTGGAGTCAAACACACCTGACTTTGAACTTGCTATGTGATCCTAACAAGTTCTTTAACCTCCCTATACCTCAGTTCTGTAAAATGAAGCTAGTTCCCTTGCAGAACTGTGAGGAACAAGTTTGAATATGCACATACATATATGTACATGTAGGTGGGTGGGCAGATAGAAGATAAAATTAGGTGTCCCTCAACTATTAGATTTCTTCTCTTACCTCTCCAGCATCAAGACTAAAAAAATGAACACAAACTCATATTCTATTGGACCAATTAAATATCAGCAAGCTTAAACTGGCAAGTTACTTTTTTCTAATTTTTAAAAATGTGTTTTACTAAAAAACTCACACACACACACACACACATTCTGCCTAATTTAACTGAAACTTCAAATGATTTCCTCTTATTTTATGTACTGACACCATCCCAATTGAATAATCCTTTAATTCCTAAACATTCAGACTTTATTCCTCAAGAGTTCTGTGGAAGAGCAAGTACCAGTATACAGGAGAACAACCTACTCTTGTTATGAAGCAAGTATATCTGTAAGGAACTGAGTTGCAGCCAGAAAGGTGATTCCAAAATTTCCAAATGCTTCCAGCTAAGGCCTTCAGATTTTATTTGAAACAGATTTGCAGAATATCAAACACACTTTTATTCAAGCAGAAGTAAAAAGCACATTCCTAAACCAAATGCATACAAGTGATGTTTATACATTCTGGTATTTAAGGATTGCTTCATCCTCTGTTTCATAATCCCCGGAAGTGACTATTAGCTTCTATACATGAGTATACACATTCCTGACAGGGGAAAAAAACATGCATTTCCATTTGATTTTACATTTAGATTCCCACCTTGCCCTGATTAGATCATATGCTTGCTGATGGCTAAGAGGTAAAATATACTGGTAGAACTATCCTAGAGGTTAGCCATAAAATGCTTATAGGGCAAGCAATACATTTTTATATATTTGTTGAGGATCCCTCATGAATATTATAACTTCTGAACTATGAAGGCCTCAACTGCTGGAATGACAACTAGAATTTTAAATAACACTTGTCTTATTCACAAAATATTATGAAACTTAAGATGGAAAAATATAATAAAGTGCTCTGACATCATCTAAGAATCATAAACTGTTGCTAGGTGTTATGATGGTGATCCTGAAATCTGGAGCCAACATCTGTGATCACTTTTACCAATCAAGAAAATCATGTTCTTGTATATGGCCTATAGACTCTAGTAAAATACAAAAAAAAAAAATGTGATAATGAATAAGTATACACAATGCCCCCACACTTCAAATACTGTCCTAGATTGATGAGGGGATATTGAGGGTGGAAATCCAAATAGATAAGAAAACAACCTTAATGGTTAAAATTTTACCAGGAACAGAATTACCAACTCTCTTGAAATATTCTCTCTGGAGATATTATATAAGAACAGCAATATCTTTGTTGGAAGGCTGAGCTCTCTGCCTTATGAAGCTCTCTGATCTTTTAGTATATGTTCTTTATGTTTTGCCCTATCAAAAACAAGCCCGAGCATTTTGCTGGCCTTCAATGGAAGTATATAAAATATTTCTAAACTTAGACATGCAGAGTAGATGCTGAATGAATGTAGCTATAACACTAGGAGTCCTTATCATCTCTGTTAGTGGGCTGTGGATGCAAAACAAGGCAGCTAAGAACTTGGGCATCACTTGAAATTGTTTAGCTGTCTGTCATAAATTCAAGGGAGAAAGAATCTTTCATACTCATAGGTGAACCGGATGTGGAAATCCAATTCTTTTAAAGGAAGATGCTTTACTTTGGGAAAGAAGACACCAGAACAGTGACATCAAGTGGGGACGGCATACCTGCTGGTAAAAAGCTTAAAACTAGGAAACCATCATTCGAAGGCGCTTAAGAGAGTGGATAAATCAACAGGAATCCAGTTGTTGTGGCTAGAAACAAATAGGAATTAGGGTCTTCAGAAAAGAGCAGGCCTAATAGTCTGTTTTGGAGAGAACTTGGGTGGAGAACAGCAGAAAAAACTAAATGAGCTACCTTCCAGATGCTGATATGTTTTAACATTGGTGTAATTACAGTATCTTAGAGAAGCTGAGAACAATACATACCAATTTCAAGAAAAAGAAAAATGTTTATAGGCCACATTAAAATAAAAATAGCTTAAATGAATTCCATAAATAAAGTATACATAGTTACTTACAACACCTATTATATTAAAGAATGCCATGAGAAACAGTACTGCATTCACCATGTCACTCCTCAGGCTAGATTTTTCTGCAATGAAAAAGATCGGGACTATATATTAATGATTTCATATACAAATAATCAACAATTGTCCCTTCAATATTTTGATGTTGAGTAAAGCCTGAAATGTGGCAATAAATTTTTTCCATTTGAGTTATATCAGATTCTGGTCTGGTGTAGATATTCTGATGATGAAAAAGACTTGAACTCCTATACTCAATGGCTTCTCTTGGGTATGGATTCTTTGATGTTGAATGAAGATTGAAATATGACTGAATCTTCACACACACACATTTATTACATTCATAGGCTTTCTGCATGGAATGAATTTGATGCTGAAAAGGTATTTTCTTTGACTGAAGGCTTTTTCACATTCTTTACAGTGGTGGGCTTTTATTCCTGTATGAATTCTCCAATGATGACTAAGTTATGAACATAACATGAAGCATTTACCACATTCAATATATTTGTAGGTTTTCTCTGGTATGGGTTTGCAGGCATCAATTAAAAGTTTAAAACTAATAGCTTTCCTACATTCATCACATTCAGAAAATTTCTCTCTGGTGTGGATTCTCCGATGATGAAAAGGTTGAGCTGACTGAAGATTTTATCACATTTAGTACTCACAATTTTTCCCTGGTGTGAACTCTCAGATATTGAATGAGGCCTGAACTTGACTAAATGTCTTCCCACGTTCATTACATTCATAAGGTTTCTCTTTGGTATGAATTCTTTGATGTTGAGCAAGTTGTGCTCTCTGAATGAGGTTCTTTTCCCATGCATCACAATCAAAGGCTTCTTCTCTGGTAAGGACTTCTCGCTGCAGGACAAGATCTGAGCTATGATTAAAACTTTCCTCATAATCATTATACTCAGAGGATTTCTCTTTCCTGTGAATTTTGTGATGCTGAATAAGGCATGAGGTTTGACTGAAAGCTTTCCCACATTCATTACATTCATGTGGTTTCTCTCCTGTGTGAATTCTTTGATGCTGAATAAGATGGGAATTCAATCTGAAGTCTTTTCCACATTCAGTACATGTATAGGGCTTTTCTCTGAGACTAACTCCTTGATGTTTAGTAAAGTTCATCCCACATTCATATTCATAGGCTTTCTCTTCACAGTGAACCTTCTGATGTTCGACTAGGAATGAGGTATGGTAGAAGTCGCTGCCACATACAGTAGTACACTTACAGGGCATCTCTCTGTGAATTCTCTGATGTTGAGTAAGGTGTACACTACGACTGAATACTCTTTCACAATTGCTACATTTATAAGATTTTGCTTTAGTGTGAATCCTCTTATGCTTCATTATGCCTGAGCTCTGACTAGAGGATTTATCAGATAATTCACAGGACTTCTCAGACATTTCACATTTATAGGGTTTTTCTCTAGTATGTATTCTTTTATGTCGACTAAGACTTGAGCTCTGACTGAAAGATTTTTCACATTCTTTACATTTGTAGGGTTTCTCTTTAGTATGAATTCTCTGATGTCTAGAAAGAGCTGAGCTCTGATGGAAGATTTTCTCACATGCATCACATTTATAGGATTTCTCAGTGGTGAAAATGCTCTCACATTTACTAAGGTGGGAAAGATCCATTAAGCTTTCTTTATATTCACTGTTCTGAAAATCCTGTGTTAGATTTACTTGTTCATGTTTCTCAGCAGCTGAATTCTGGTTGAGGCCAATGTCATACCTATCAATGTCATCAATGTTCTGTATTCTAAGATCTCTCTGGTCTGTATCAAGGGTAGATTCCAGACTGAAGCTTTTTTCAGGTTCATTACATTCATTGTTTTCACTGGTGAAAGTTTTCTTGCTGATTGTTATTTGCCTAAACTCTCTCTCCAGGAATAAAAATTTCCTTAGTATTTCCTGAAGCCTTTCTAATCTGTCCTCAGGTTTATACACTTCTCTAGTCTCAGGAACTTGGCCGGCATCCTTTTTGAGTCTTCCTACTCTCATTTTGCATGAATGTACTTCTGAAATTTTCTGCTTAGGAATCAACAGCTTGTTCTCTTCTCTGGTTCCTCCATCTGATGCAATATATAAATAGAAAATGCAAATGTAATCTGTACCCTATGCTTAGAAAAAGAAAACTCAGAGAGGAAAAAGCTAAGTAATATAGTATCTATCAGGATTAAAGAAGTTTATTTACTCTAAAACATATGCATAAAATTTCAACAGCAGATATAAGGGCATGAAATGAAAGTGTGGTAGGTTCTAAATGGTTCAGGGTGTGGTAGAAACAGAAGATACTTTCAGCAGAGTAAGAAAATCAATTAAGGTATTTCAAAGGATTAAATAGTTCTAACGAATTATAGACAAGCAACTTGAATAGGGACCTACTACAACTTGTGGATGATTAGGGACAAAATAAATGCAAAGAGTTCATCAAAACTGAAGGGAAGCCCTGGCCAGTGTGGCTCAGTTGGTTTGGCATCTCATGCACCAAAAGGTTGCCAGTTCCATTCACCGGTCAGGGTACATGCCCAGGTTGCCAGCTTGATCCCCAGTAGGGGGTGTGCATGAGGCAGCTGATAATGTTTTGCTCTGACATGGATGTTTCGCTGTCTCCTTTCCTTTTTCTCTAAAAATCAATTAAAAAAAAAAACTGGAGAGAAAAGGAAAGAGTTCTCCATTCTGGGATACAGACAGAGCTCTCCATTCTGATTGCCAAAGCAGCTACAACTTGGCTCAACAACAGTACTAATTCCATCTGATTGATTCTGCCTTACTCACCTGAGCGGTCATCTCTTAAGACTTCTCTATTCTTAGTTTCCAAATCAAAGACCTGTAGATCTTGTTCCAGCTGAGAGATCCCATCAGGCTTGAAAATTGGAAATCCTGCTCATAGAGAAGGAAATGGGATGTGGCAATTTATCCCCAGATACCATACCAGCCACTTTTTCTCTTAACTTGTGGTTAACAGAGAAAGTAAATTCTTAGAAGACATTAGGAAGACCTGGAGTGTGAGAGTGGCAAAGATCCTCTACAAGGAACTCCTATTTGAGCTCTATAAAGAAGTATGTCAAGGAACAAGTTTATGACTTTTGAGAGCAATAGTGTTCATTTAAACATTACTCAAACAGAATTTATGCATGGGATAATTTCACAGAAATTATCATTAGCACTCCTCACCTGTTGCCTCTAGATCAATCTTGTATTAGACCTGGTCAAAATTGAGGTAATCAAAATATAACCTAGAGAAAAGTGGATATTTAAGCATCTGTTGTATGGTGACATGAACCATAGCAACAGAATCAGTGAAGGCTGAGTAAATATTCTTAGGATAAATCTTAAGAAACAATTCATTTCAATTCAAATAAGGAAACAAAGAATAATCTGACACATTCTCACCCATTAGGAGCTTACACTCTTGTTTATTAAACAAACATTTATGGGATGCCCTCTCTATCCAAAGTATGTCAGGGATAAAGGGCTCAAGCCAATAAGGCTCATTCTCTCAAAGACCTTATACTCCTAACTGCAGAGACAGGTATAAACAAATAATTATAATATATAGTGAGGAAAGTGCAATAAAAGTGCATCTTCACATAAAATGGTCTTTCTCTGGCTTGCATAATGGACTGCTAGGATCTAAACTCTTTTAAAGTGAAAGTAAGAGGCAGTCTGCTTCTGAAGGGCCAGAACTATTATAGCATCAAAGGGGCATTTTAGACATGTTCAGCCCAGAAAGCTTCTAGTAGCACACATACAAGGTCTTAGCTCAAGCCTCTCATCTCCAAAAGCCTTTCTCTTCACTTACTGAATGTCTACAAAATTTATTTGTTCCTCTTATCCTGATATGTCACTATATAATGAAATTTACAGATTTTTTACTTGGTTTCAGGTATCAACATCCCTACCTGATTGCAGGGATCATGTAGCTTGTATCTTGCATTTCTTTTGATTCATTTACTTAAAAGCTACTCACTGAGTGCCAATTTTGTGTCCAAGTATCAACATACAACAAATAACCAATGTTTTTAAAAGGGCATTGGACTTAGAAAATATAAACTAACAGCTGCCCTCTTGGGATTCTGTGTGAGAGTCTAAGAGCAGAGAGATCAGAACAAATATAAAAAAGATATAAATGTCTTTTATTTACTGTGTTTCTAAATTCCTACTGGGCACTAATAGAGTTCTTTTGGACATGTATTTAGTTAAGGTCCTCCATGTCAAATGAAATAGTTTTGCAAGTTAAAAAAAAGTTAGTGTGGTATGAAGCAGCAACTATTCTGTTCAGAATTCTGATAACATAATTTGCAACTTCTACTTTTGAGATATTTATTAAGATATTTTTAAGTATTTGACAACTGAAATTTTGGTTCTTTATATCTACACTTAAATCACATATGCACAACAAAAAAGATCATCTCGATGTGGAATGAGAGGTTTGATTTTGGACTTGTGTTTAAGGTAATGTAGAAACATATAAAATGCTTAACAGGCAATTAGATATACAAGACTGAAGTTCAGAAGAAAACAGAGTTCATGATATAGACTTAAAGTCACCTGTATCATCACAATATTAAGCTATGATTTACTAAGTAGGTGGTAGGTACAAAGTACCATACCCATGAGCGATACAAGCTTGCACTCACTTAATAGTCACCATACCTTTATGAGGTAGTCACTATTATTATACCCATTTTACAAATAGGAAAACTAAGATTCAAAGAGGTTAATTAACTTGCCCAAGGCCACAAGTGGTTCCAGCGGTTCTCAACCTGTGGGTCGCGAACAATGAAAATACATCCTGCATATCAGATATTTACATTACGATTCATAACAGTAGCAAAATTACAGTTATGAAGTAGCAACGAAAAAATTTTATGGTTGGGGGTCACCACAACATGAGGAATTGTCTTAAAGGGTCGCGGCATTAGGAAGGTTGAGAACCACTGACAGGACATAAACCCAGTCTTATTTCAGAACCTGGCTTTTAAATAATCCACTAGTAAAAAAATGATTGTGAATGAAATCCATTCCTTCCTCCAAAATATGTATAGAAAGAGAACAGAAGACCAATATGTTGATAATGGAATAAATAGTAAACATAATAAAAGAACAGAAATAGTGATTGGAGAACCAGGATCCAAAAGACTTGGAATCATGAATGTTTTCATTAAAAGGGATCTAAGAGATCTTTAGTGCCAAAGAAATAAAAAATCTCTTTATAATAAAAATCCAAACTCTAGGCACAGTCAGAGCAATATTCAATTTGAGGAAATTGAACTTGTAAAGAAATAATTTGAACTCTCCTAAAATTTTTATTTGTATTAAAAAAATTGGTCTATAGCTCATATCACTTGTCCTTTTCAAACAAACATTTGAGTAACTACCATGAGCCAGATACTTATAAACATAATCTAACTTAATCCTTGGCACAAACCAAAAGGGAGACACTATTTTTCATGTATGGTTTTTTAAAAAATATATTTTATTGATTTCTTACAGAGAGGAAGGGAGAAGGATAGAGAGTCAGAAACATCGATGAGAGAGAGACATCGATCAGCTGCCTCCTGCACACTCCCCACTGGGTATGTGCCCGCAACCAAGGTACATGCCCTTGACCGGAATCGAACCCGGGACCCTTGAGTCCACAGGCCGACTCTATCCACTGAGCCAAACCAGTCAGGGCTATTTTTCATGTTTTATAGATGAAGAAAATGAGTGTGAGTTTAAATATTTGCTCAATGTATCACAGCTGGTAACTGGAACACAAGTTTAATTCCACAGTTTATATTCTTTCTACTCTACCACACTAAGGGTCTCAGAAAGCATTAAGACAGGTTTTCCTGCCATTGGTCTAAATGTCTTTTCCTGCCCTGGCCAGGTAACTCACTCAGAGTGTGGTCCGGATATGCCAAGCTTGCAAGTTCAATCTCCAGTCAGGGCACATAGAAGATGCAACTAATGAATGCATAGATAAGTGAAACAACAAATCAATGTTTCTCTTTCCTTCTCTCTTTCTTTCTCTCTTTCTTTCTTTCTTTCTTTCTTTCTTTCTTTCTTTCTTTCTTTCTCTCTCTCTCTCTCTCTCTCTCTCTCTCTCTCTCTCTCTTTCTCTCTCTCTCTCTCTCTCCCTCCCTCCCTTTCGCTCTCTAAAATCAATAATAATAAATAAATGCCTTTTCCTAAATTTAAGTCAAAACTCTGTGCTCTCAAAAATAGCATTTGCTTAGATTTGTTTTGTAGCTCAAGCCTCTAATCTAAAATTACTTAATTTTTGCCTGGCTGGTGTGGCTCAGTGGTTGAGCGCTGACCTATGAACCAGGAGGTCACGGTTTGATTCTTGGTCAAGGCACATGCCCGGGTTGTGGGCTCGATCCCCAGTGGGGGACATGCAGGAGGCAGCTGATCAATGATTCTCATCATTAATGTTTCTCTCTCTCTCTCTCTCTTCCTCTCTGAAATCAATAAAAATATATTTTAGAAAAATAAAATAACTTAATTTTTTATTAAAATCTTTTCATTTTTAAATTTAAACCATGATCATTTCCTAATTAGATTTACTTTTACTTAATCTGGTTTTTTAAAGTAACATTTAAAATATACCTCAGAATTAAAAGGTTAAGGGATAAAGCAAAAAAATAAAATATACCTCATTATTTGGTTTCCTGCCTAAGATTTAGCCATTTGGAAGCTTCATGCCTTTCTTCCTGATCCTTAACAAATACACAAATAAAATCTCTCCTTAGAAATATTGTTCTTGTGTATCTTCTATAATAATAAAAGTGTAATATGCTCATTAGACCGGACGTCGGACAACCTTCTAGACAAAGCCGGGGCTGCTGCAAGGGAAGCCTGGGTCCCAGGTGCCAGAGGGAAGCCGGTGGCGGCAGCCAGGGGAAGGAAGGCCTACTCTTGCAAGAATTTCGTGCATCGGGCCTCTAGTATACTTATAATGGAATATATTCCTAGACAATTTTACGTCTTGAATGTGTCCTTTCTGTTCCCAAACTATACAAACATGCCTATCTGTTCAATTTATCATAGCCATTTTTCATTGTCATCAGAGTACAGCCATGAAAATACAAAAAACACCATATGTGGTTTAACTAATTGCTTTAAGACACAAAATAGTGAAAAAGAGCATGGGTTTCATAGTCAGTTTTGATTCCAAATTACGTGAATTACTAATTTCTCTGAATCTCAGCTTCCTCAGGTATAAAATAGAGTAATATCTGCTCACAGGGTTACAGTAAGGATTAAAATATATATCGCTCCGCCACTTCGAACCTACATATGCAAATTAACCACCATCTTTGTTGGCGGTTAATTTGCATATCTTGCTGATTAGCCAATGGGGGGCATGGCAAAGGTACGGTCAATTACCATGTTTGTCTATTATTAGATAGGATTATCTAGGAGCGTATTGGTTGCTTAAGAAATAGTATATAGCTGTGGCAATAAAAACATTCTATACAAAATCATTTTTGTCCTGAGGACATTAACTTCAAAAAGTTAGGGGCTATGTGCCAAACATTCCTGATTTGTCAACTCACTTATCATGAACTAGAATTCTGATAAACATGTCATCTAATCAGGCACCACCACTCTATCCCATTTGCAATGCAATCCAGGCCTCTTTCCTAGTCTTAATTTCCAGTACTTAATCTTAATTTTAAGCACTAAGTCACATATAACATTCCTTTGGGTATGACCCTCAAGCCAGTAATTCATACATTGTTAATAGAGTATGCTTCTTTTTAGATTTGGTAATAAAAATTATGTTTTTACAAACTTTTTCGCTCTTTTACTCAACTGTTCATACTCTATATTTTTTTGTTTTATCTATTTGTTTTTGTTAATCCTCACCCGAGGATATTTTTTCATTGATCTTTTAGAGAGAGTGGAAAAGAGAGGGAAAGACAGAGAGAAACATTGATGTGAGAGAAACATTGGTTGTCTCCCTCATGCACCCCAACCAGGGCCCGGGCCAGGGAGGAGCCTACAACCAAGGTACGTGCCCTTGATGGGAATCAAACCCAGGCCCCTTTAGTCTGCAAGCCAATGCTCTATCCACTGAGCCAAACCAGAGAGGGCCATACTCTGTATATTTACTAGAATATAGTCAAAGCACTTAACCAAAGGACCAAAGTTCTGATGTCTGTGACAAATACACCTCAGAGCTACTGCCATGGGAAAAAAGATGTGAACTGGCTGCTAAGTCAGGGACTGAATTATAAGAGTCCTTATTTTATAACATGAACATTAAACTAAGTTAATTAAATGTATAACTTTAAAATTCACATGGAATTTGCTGAACCCACAAATATGAAAGGTCTTCCCAAGGACTGTAGAAATTAATTACTAAGGAGAGGCTCCTATCACAAGAGCAAATTGAATACGAGGATTTCTTGTGTGTATTTGTGCCCAGTATGTGTATAAGTATGCATGTGTGTCCTGTGTGTATGAAGAGATGCGAGAAAATGGAACAAAATTCAGTTAACTAGCATGCTGTGCTATTAGGCTGATTAAGCTAAGAAGTTTCTTTACTCCAAAAAGTAGACAGGTTAACTGTTGGAAATTATGTAATTATTAGATAAAATTTATAGTATCTTGCAATTACATATCACTTTACAGTATACAAAATTGTTAAATATACATTCAATCTGATGCCCTGAAATAAAGAAACAGAACTCTTTTGCCTTCCCATCTCCCCTCCACCAAGGACAGAGCTAAGGAACACTTAATCAGAAAAGGTCATATAAATGTATCAATCTTGTTTGGCAACAAATAATAAAGGGGACAAAGTCAGGACCTTGGAGGCGGCCACAGGGACTTAAAAGAAGACTAGAATGTTAAATATAAAGAAAGCCCAGGGGTCACAAGAGAGTTAAGCATCGGAAGGAGCAGGTCCTGTTCACTACAGAAAAGGAGGGGCACGCAACAAACGTTCCACATTCTAAAATAAAATGAAAACATCATAACTGAAGAGCTGGAGTTGAACTTTGTGGTTTCTCAGAACACAAGTAGATGACCACCAACCATGGCTTCTGAATGAACTCAAAATTCAGGATACAAAATGCATCTGGTGGCAACGGAGAGTTTCCTTGGCCCTTTAGAAATTTAACAAAGGTCTTTTGAGGAGCTGCAATTTTACAAAGTGGTGGCATCCTGGGAGCATCTATTCCATCAATCAAATGTAATATCTTATAATCGTGGAAAAGGAGTTTCCGAGCGGGGATGAGCAATATCGATGGGAAGCCGATACTTGGGCCATCTCTTGGAGATTCCTGCTGAAAGGACTGCAAGTGTTTCTCCAGAGAAAGCACTTGCCTGGGTATGACTCAGGGCCGGGCAGGAATTCACACTATGAATCCGGGTGGTGGGAAGACGGAGAAGTATGCCTATAAAGATCAAAGAGCCAGGAATGGAAAACACGCTAAAACCTTCCCAGTTGGCAGGCTGCCTCCCCACAGAGAAGAAGACCTCTTTAATCCTGAGTGTAATCAAGGAGACAAAACAACAACCCTAGATGCCATCAGCATAGGCAAAGCAAAATGAAAGAGAGAAAAGAAAAACCATCATTAAATTCACACATAAATAAAAAGAACAAAAGCAGAGACGCAACAACAAAACAAACAAACAAAAAAAAAAAAC